GACTGACCCCTACATAGCAAATAAGTCCCTGTAAACTCTCAAAAAGTACAGAAATATGCAGTTTACCCTTGGCTGTGCCAATATTTTCTTAATAAAGCCTAAAGAATTTGTAACAAAAACAGGCCAAAACAACATTTGATTCTGCTAGTTTAATGACACTAGGCTGCATTCAGAATGAAAAGCAAATGTGTTTATAATAATTTCACAGGGATTTTTTAAATAAGGGCAATTTATTTTTTCCAAACACAGACTTTTATTAGGAAAAGAATTTTAAAGCCAGAGTGTATCATTTTGCTAAATCTGCATGTGGTGACTTGTGTCTTTGTTAAATTAGGTCTAAATTCCTTTTTCCCAGCTACACTAACTGCAATATTTCTTCTTTTTTTAAAATTTTCCTTTTATTGAGAATAGGTTTTCTTCTCACATAATATATTTTGATTATGGTTTCCTCTTCCTCTACTCCTCCCGGTTTCTCCCCACCTCCTCTCTCATCCGTATCCATTCCCTTTCTGTTCCCCCATTAAGAAACAAACAGGCTTCTAAGGGATAATAATAGGATAAATAAGATAAAACTAAAACTAAAACATTGGAACCAGACAAAACAAACAAAGAAAAGAAAAAGAGCCCAAGAAATGTGATAAAAAACAAATATAGATAGAGAGGCCCACTCATTCACACATTCAGGAATCAAGGGCAATTTATTTAAAGAATATCATTCTAAATATTAATAGTCACTGCCTCTGGACTGCTTTTGGGTAATGTTAACTTTTCATTATTATCTAGATCTCAAAGAGAAAAAAAATGGAAACTTCTAATTCAGCCAATTACCTAAGTGATTAACGGTTAGGTATTAACATTGAAAGGTTCAATAATCCTTAATTATAGTTTCTCAGGAACAAAGAGTTAAACATAAAACTGCATTTTCCCTTTTGATTTGTATCAAACCCTTAGGAATGAGCTTCTTTTTTTGAGAACAATAAAGTTCTGATTTGCACTAAAAAACACCCAAATTAAAATGAAATAGATTTCTTTGGCATTTGGGAAATGATCTAGTTATTTTTCAAAGGGCTCCTTCTGCAAGTTAAGGAAGTCTGCTGCCAGAAAACATTAAGAACCATTAAGAGAAAATCATAGTGTGGGGCTGTCAACATTATTGTTTTCCTTTCCATGCAAGTGTGTTCTAGTTACTCAATTTCATAAGATATGAAGCATTTGTTCATTTTTTGAAAAACAGAACTCCCTTAACCCCCATCATTCTTTTTGGGCTCTTCTCCATAACATGGTTTTGGAAACACTGTGGGATTATTGCTGAAATATTGGATATGTGGGAAATATGACTACTAACTTCTATTGTGTAGAGACCCAGGTTAACATCATGCTGCCCTTGGTACACTATCTGAATTTAGGAAAATTATTCAGCCATGACCTTAACTATAAAAAAGGACATCCAATTAGATAGTGATGAATTGGAAATGATTTCATTTGTCTTCAACAGTAATTTTAAAGTTCAACATATTCAATGTTAATTGTCCTAGAAATTTTTGCATACCATATATAGAAATATTTTTCTAATACATTTTGCTTGCAATAAAAATAAATTAATTCCTTTCTGCTCTCTTCCTGGACACTGTTACATCATCTGCTATGCTAGCCAACTTCTTCTGCATATTGATCTTAAATACACAACATCATAATGATGATGTTGGCCACTACATCATGATTTCTAAGGTCTTGAATCTATCTTCAGCTGAAAACAATTTCTAAGTCTTTTAAATAAGAGATCCAATCATATTAGCTCAGATTAATGCTTATCTGTATTATGGACTCCCTGAAAATACCATCAAGGTGACTCATAGTGTGGAGACATGACAGCTAGCCCTATGCTGATGGCACCGTGTTACTGCCTACTCTAGCCCAATCAATTAGAGATACTTCCCTTTGAGTGGTCGGATCTTTGTAATAATTTACAGATAACTCCTGTGTAATGGCTAAAGAAACTTAATAAGGTACCAGGCATCCCTTAAGGGCCATTGACCTTTACCCTGGAATGCCTATGGGATCCCAGTGGCTTGCTGGTGAATAGGATAATGGTGTGCCTGCTGTGATGTGTTGAACCACTTGTTTTTTTCTTTTGTAAACCCCCTTATCCCTGTGGGACTGGGATGAAGTGGTCTTTTCATTCCTGGAAAGAGAAACAACTGAGGGAGTAAAGCAATTTTCTTGCCCCTATGGACTCCATAGATAATTGTATTTTACCCCTTTAGTATCCACCTTTATAATGCCTTCTTTGAGCTCCTGTGGCACAGCATTCTATTTGGCTCTAAGGCAGCCATCCTTCTGCCAGCAGTAAAAATAAATATGTTTAATCTAAATATGAATTAAATCTAAGTCTTTGGTCTTTCCCAGTGGATTTCCCACCACAATAGGTTGTCAAAATAACCTCTTGATAAATGACAGCAGGATTCACCGCTTTCTGCGGTGATGAGAACCAGTATTTTCGTGGTCCCTCTAGCATCTTAAAAGACAGATTGGATGATTGGATGCTGTCTTCCTCACTGGTCTATTGCTGAGAAGAGACACCACTACTAAATGACAGCTTTCATGCAGGCACACCCCACTCACATGCCTGGCCTCAGCTGCTTTCCTTAGACATGGAGGAAGATTTCACAACCCCCTTCTTGTATCCTTGACTCTAAAGCCAGAATCATGTGGCCAAAGCTGCCAAGTTCTACTGCCTGATGGGGCTGGAACATGGCCCCCTCTTTCAATTACATTTGCATCAGCTTTCTGGTTTTGATGGTTTCCTTCACTGCTTAAGCTTTTTTAAATTGCTTTCTACAAGTTGGAAGCTTAACTGGGTGGGGTCTTGCCCTGAGGTCACCACTCCCTCTATTCCATTTAGCATTGGGCTTTTCTTTAAACGTTTAACTCCTCGAACACTGGATTTGGCTCAAATATTGCATTTTCTCCTCAAACTGTACATTTTGAATTATCTCTTGATCAGCTTGCTCCTTTTCATTATATACCTGCATAAAAGTAACCACTTACAGCCACAAAACACAGTCAATACTAGGCTTCCTAAAGTCAGCGAATGCCAATGCCATCAATTCAAACTCTTCAGTTTATCCCCAGACAGAATTTTAGGACAAGGGCAAAAAGCAGCCATGTTCTTTGGCAAAATACCACAAGAATGGTCTCTAGGCCACTTACTAATATTCTTTCCCTTCAAAACTTCTTAATCCTGGGCCTCTAGAGTTCAAACAGCTCTCAGAACTCTCTTCCATGCTCCTACTAAGATAACCCATTTAGCCTTGCTTAAAGCATCCAATCACTCTTCTAGCCAAAGTCCCCAAATCTCCCATATTCTTCAAACAAACAGCATGGTCAGGGCTGTCACAGAAATATCCCAGTCCCTGGAACCAACTTGTGTCATAGTTAGGATTACTATTACAGTGATGAAACACCATTACCAAAAGCAAGTTGTGGAGTAAAGTATGTATTGGGGTTATGCTTCCCTATCATTGTTTATCAGTGAAGGAAGTCAGGACAGGAACTGAAACATGGCAGGAACTTGGAGGCAGGAGCTGATGAAGAGGCCATGGGGGAGCATTGCTTACTGGCTTTCTCCATGGCTTTCTCAGCCTGGTTTCTTAGACCGCTAATCCAGGAGTGACCAAAAGCACAATTGATTGGTCCTTCCCCCCTCAACCTCTTCCATCACTAACAAAATGTCCTGAAGGGACCAGATCCCCATTTCTGCAGCCATAACATGTGCTTGTCTGACCTTGTCTTAGTCACTAGGAGGTCAGAAGCCTGCCTCGTGGCAAGGAAACAATCAGAAGTTAGCTGGTGGTGCTATGCTTTATAGCTCTGTGTGTGCTTTTCGGACAAGTGTACAGCAATGATGCAGAGAGCATAGCAACCACCCTGGGAAGGCCTATGGGCCATAACAACCAGTTGACCAATCAACACAGGGCAAACCCTCCAAGCCTGGAGGCACACTAATTCTGAGCCTGTGTGTACCCCTAGACAATCCCCTTATGCTGCCCTATAAAATCTCTATGCAGATGCTTCGAGCCATCTTTCCTAGCCATCCGCCATGATGGGTGGATGAAAGACCCAAGCTAACATGGGGTTGGCTCGTTAAACAACTATAATAAAGCCTCGTGCAGTTTGCATCAAGCTTTTGACTCTGCCTGGTGATTGGGGTGACTGCATTACTGGACTGAGATCCTGGGGGCCTGAGCCTTCCAGGGGTCTTTCAGTCCTATATGCTTAACTAAAGCCCAGTTTTATGGTGGCATTTTCTCAATTTGGTTTCCTTCCTCTCTGGCAACTCTAGCTTGTGTCAAGTTCACATGAAACTAGCCAGTACAACCGAGCCCTTGCCAACTTGACACGCAAACACATCACTGTTAAGCCACAACCTTTGTTCATGCCCCAAGATCACACATTAATAAAGACATCACAATGTAAAACAAATTAAAAACTTAAAATTTCCCATAGCCCTACATACTCGAACACTTTGAAAGCCGCCTCTTTAAAAGCATACAGTCTTGGCGAAGGCTGAAGATTTTACCTCAGTGATGCTGGTCTCTTCTTAATCATAGCTGATTCTTCAGCTTCAGCTGACCAGCATCCACTGTCCCAGCAAAGCAAAGGTTTTGCTTCAGTGGTTCCGATCTCTTGTTAATCACAGCTGATTTTTCATCTCCAGTGGAGAGAAATCACAAATTCTTCCTACAAATAACCCAGTAGAGGCTTTGCTTCACTCTGAAACTTTCCAAGTGAGGTTTCCATTGTCTACACTGCTCTCAACATTCTTATCGAGCAAGCTCCTACAAAACAGCTCACTGAGCTCTCTCAACTTGACTAGATGGCATTTTTAAGTCCACTTCTGGTATCAATTTCTTTCTTAGTTACCATTCTATTGCTGTGAAGAGACACCATGACCAAGGCAACCTATATAAAAGAAAGCATTTAATTGGGGACTTGCTTACAGTTTCGGAGTAAGCCCATTGTCATCATGGTGGGGAGCATGGCAGCACACATTACACTGGAGAAGTGGTTGAGTGAATCCTCATCTGCAGGGAGAGAGAGAGAGAGAGAGAGAGAGAGAGAGAGAGACTGGGCATGGCTTTTGAAACTTCAAAGCCCACCACCCATGACATACTTTCTCCTAGACTACATCTCCTAATCCTTCTAATACTTTCAAAGGGTTCCACTCCCAAGGGACTCAGCATTCAAATATGTGAGTATATGGGGCCATTCTCATTCAAACCACCACAGATGTCTAATTTTAGGTGAGTCTTTCAATGCTGAGGATAAATTTGCATTGAGCAAGTTTGTGGCATGAGTTTAAAGCTTTTTAGTCATGGTGAAGGGGGATTAACAGTTTGAGAGTAAGTCGTGTGTTGATAAGCTAACTGAAGTGAATTGTTCCTGTAAGAAAGTAAAAAGAGGTGTTGAAGATAATGACTTAGTTGACATACTAGAAAACACTGGGGATCTTACTTATAAAAAGGATCAGTGACCAATCATATAGAGTTTCAAATGAATATATGAGCAAAGTAGGAAAATCAATTTGGTACCTAGATAAGAAAAGATGGCTAAAGTTGATAAAAACCACAGTTTCCCCTCTATCCCCTCTTCCTGTTCCCTCGCTGCATATCCCCCTGAAATCCACTCCTCTTTGTCCCCATTCAGAAGGAGTAAGGCCTCTCATGGGAATCAATAAAGCATGACACATCAAGTTGAGGCAGGACCAAGCTCTTCCCTTTTGCAGCAAGGCTGGGCAAGGCATCCCATCATAGGAAATAGGTTCCAAAGAGCCAATTCTTGCATAAGGGACAGGTCCTGGTCCTACTGCTAGGGGCCCCGCAAACAGACCAAGTGACACAACTGTCATACAGATGCAGAGGCCCTAAGTCAGTCCCATGTAGGCTCCCTAGCTATAGGTCCAGAGTCTGTGAGCTCTCACAAGCCCAGGTCAGCTGTCTCTGTCGGTATCCCCATAATGATTGTGCTGGTCCTTGCTCATATGATCCCTTCTCCCTCTCTTCAACAGGACTCGCAGATCTCAGTCCCGTGCTTGGCTCTGGATCTCTGCATCTTCTTCCATCAGTTACTGGATGAAGGCTCTATGATGACAGTTAAGGTAGTCCCCAATCTGGTTACAGGGGAAGGTCAGCTCAGGCACCCTCTCCACTATTGCTAGGAGTCTTAGCTGGTTCATCTTTGTGAGTTCTTGGGAGTTTTCCTGGCACCAGGTTTCTGCCTAATCCCATAATGGCCCCCTCTTTCAAGATATCTCTTTCATTACTCTCCCCTCCGTCCCACCCCCAACTTGGCCATCCTGATCCTTCATGTTCCATCCGCCCATCCCCTCCCCTCTACACCCCTGCCCCCAGTTTACCAGGGAGATAGCATCTATTTCCTTTCCAGGGAGATCTTGTGTTACTCTTATGGTCCTCCTTGTTACCTCCCTTTCCTGGGGCGGTGGACTGTAGCCTGGTTATCCTTTGCTTTCTGTCTAATATCCACTTGTGAGTGAGTGAGTGCATACCATGTTTGTTTTTCTGGGTTTGAGTTACCTCACTAAGCATGGTTTCTTCTGGTTCCATCCATTTGCTGAAAAATTTTATGATGTCTTTTTTTTTTTTTTTTTTTTTCAGCTAGGTAATAATTCATTGTGAAGACATACTACATTTTCTTTATCTGTTCTTCTGTTGAGGGACATCTGGGTTGTTTTCATGTTCTGGATATTTACAAATAATGCTGCTATGAACATAGTTGAGCAAGTACGCTTATGGTATGAATGCGCAACCTTTTGGTATTTTCCCAAGAGTGATATAACTGGGTCTTGAGGTGGATTGATTCCCAATTTTCTAAGAAACTACCATACTGATTTCCAAAATGGCTACACAAATTTTCCCTCGAACCAGCAGTGGAGGAGTGTTCTCCTTACTCCACATCCTCTCCAGCATAGGCTGTCATTAGCATTTTTGATCTTAGTTATTTTGATAGGTGTAAGATGGCATCTCAGAGTCATTTTGACTTTCATTTCCCTGATAACTAAAGGTATTGAATAATTATTTAAGTGTATCTCACTATTTGAGATTCTTCTGTTGGGAATTCTCTGTTTAAATCTGTACCCCATTTTTAGTTGGGTTATTTGGTAGTTTGATGTCTAGTTTCTTGAGTTATTTATATATTTTGGAGATCAGTACAGATGTGGGGTTGGTAAAGATTTTTTCCCATTCTGTAGGCTGCCATTTTGTCTTGTTGACTGTGTCCTTTGCCTTACAGAAGCTTCTCCATTTCAGGAGATCCTATTTATTAATTGTCTATCTGGGTGTCTGTGCCACTGCTGTTATATTCAGGAAGTGGTCTCCTGTGTCACTAATACAAGGGTACATCCCACTTTCTCTTCTATCAGCTTCAGTGTAACTGGATTTATGTTGAGGTCTTTGAGCCACTTGGATTTGAGTTTTGTGCCTAGCCACAGATAAGGATCTATTTGCATTCTTCTACATGTTGACATACAGTTATGCCAGCACCATTTGTTGAAGATGCTTTCTTTTTTCCATTGTATATTTTTTGCTTCTTTGCCAAAATCAGGTTTCTGTTGGTCTGTGGATTTATGTCAGGTCTTCAATTTGATTCCCTTGATCCATGGAACACTAGGCTTCCAGTTAGTAGCACTAGTCTCCTAACGACAGACAGCTGCTTTTGAACCTGTCCTGCCTGTAGCATTGAACTTGTTCACACTTCCTTGCTAAACTGTTTTTAATCTTTCCTCTCCACTTCCTGTAAACATGGATAAGATCAGTGAACAGTAACCATGACATAGTGTGACTGTTATCTGCTCTTGAAATTCTCTTGACCAAATAACTTAATCTGTTTCTTTTAAATTCAGCCACACACAAGTTCTTGAGACAGGGGCAGAATTCAGCTAGATTTTAATCTCAATGTCAAATCTTCTGACACAGTTACTCACAGATTCCTTGTGTTTTGTTTTGTTTTTATATCCCATGAGTTGGGTCTTCAAACTCCCAACAGAATAGACCATTAAATTCTTCTGGCAGCACTCTAAAGATTGTCTAGATCAAAGTGTCATATTCTTGTACATTTCTACACGCCCACAGACCAGTTGTAAAGGCCTCCTCAGTGCTATGATGATCTATATGTCAGATCTATTGCTGCCCTCAATTTTCTGTATTTACTTTTCTCATGCTTATGATAAAACCAACAACTCATGTTTCTAGGGGACAGTCTATCAAGATGGGAAGGCATGGTGGCAGGAATTTAAGGCAGCTGGTCACATGCCATTCACAGTCAGGAAGCAGAGGGCCATACACACTGGTTCTTAGTTCACTTGTTCCTTTTCATTTAGACCAAGACCCAAGGCCATGGAATGGTGATGCAAACATTTAGAGCTGGTCTTCATGCTTTAATTAAACCAATCCCTCATAGAAGTGTTGTCTTCTATAGAGTAAAGAATTACCAGCCTACAATCCACACTGCCAGAGAAGCTAGTAAACAAGGAGGACCCTAAGAGAGACATACATGGTCCCCTGGAGAAGGGGAAAGGGTTAATATCCCCTGAGCAAACTGAGAGCAATGGGAAGAGGGGGGAGGGAGCTACCAGAATGAGAAGGGAAGAAGAGGAAGGATACAGAGGTCATGAGGGATCAGAAAGGTTGAGTTAGGGGAAGAATAGAAGAAAGGATATGTGATAGGTCAGGTTGTAGTTGGGGGTGGTGGTAGGGGAGGATGGCAAGGAGAAGGGACCTGGGATTGTCATGTAAAACAATCTTGTTTCTAATTCAAATAAAAAAAATCTGGAAAAAAATAGTGCTTTCTTCTGGACATCATATGGGTCGTATGATCATATCAGAGCACATATCAGTGGTGGTTCCTACACAAGATTGGGTGCATCAATATTATATCATGGATGACGGAAGGGGTTATGAAGCTGAGCCTCTCCCTGAGAAGTGACAGACAGTTAAAGGTTGCTGAGGCAGGAGAGTCATAGTCCTCTTGATGTAGTCACTGGTAAGTTGCTTTTGCTCATGCAAATAACCCAACATACATGCTTATGCAAACAACCTTAGTAAACTACAATGTGCACACAAATAGGAAGGGCTTGTTGGGAAGAAGGGTGCTTATTTAAAAGAGGAAGTCTATACATTTTAAGAAAACTTTTTTTTTTTTGTTTTTTGTTTTTTGTTTTTTGTTTTTCAACACAGGGTTTCTCCATGTAGCTTTGGAGCCTATCCTGGCACTTGCTGGCCTCGAACTCACAGAGATCCACCTGCCTCTGCCTCCTGAGTGCTGTGATTAAAGGCATGTGCCACCAACGCCCGGCCTGCCACCAACGCCCGGCCTGCCACCAACGCCCGGCCAAGAAAACAAAATTTTTAAAAAGCAAATCCCTCACAGAGGTGCTCAATGGCTTATTGAGTGGATAACTAACTTTAATCATCACATCAACTCTATGTCAGACAGCAGATTAAATATTGAGGATCTACAAAGATCTAAAAACTTAAATCCCAACGCCTCCAACTTGTTGGAGGAAGTAAAGGGAAGACAGGAAATGATGTAATTATATTTTAATAAAAATTATCCACTCCATAAATGGGCTGATGACCTGCATAGAGAGTTCTCAAACAAGAGAATATGAAGAGCTAAGAAGCAGCAAATAGAGGAGCAGCCTCAGGCCTAGTCACTCATAGATTCCTTACATTCCTGTGAAACCTCATGAGCTGAGTTCATCAATGACCTCTGTAGGGAAGTGGATGGAACTGGAAATTATGTTAATTTATGTAAACCAGATTCAAAAGGGCAAATCAGCTGTTGTCTCTCATATGTGCAATGTAAATTTAAGTGTCTGTGTGTGTGTGTGTGTGTGTGTGTGTGTGTGTGCACATGCAAGTGTGTAAGAGTATTGCATATGTTTGTAAGTTACCAAATTATAAAGGCAAATATAAGAGGGGAGGGAACAAGGGCAAGGGAGGGAAAGGGCAAAAAAATCCCCAAGAATTTGGATACATATGATAAGAAAGCAAAACAAGACTATGGAAGTAACAAGGGGACAAGCGGGGGCAGGAAGAACAGGGAAATGCAGTTGGTGGTAGAGCAAATAAAGATAAAGTATGTTGACATTTATTCATAAAAAACATGACGATGAAACCTACTACTTTGCACACTATGCAAAACTTAATAATCAGGGCCTACAGGGAGATAGCACAGCTGGTAAAATACTTGCATTGTAAGCATGAGGACCTGGGTTTCTCTCCAGGATCCACTTTAACAAGCTAGGCATTGGTAGCACATGTATGTGAATCCAGTGCTGGAGAGGCTGAGACACGTCAATCCCTGGGGCTCACTACCAAGCTGGTCTGACTTACTAGATGAGTTCCAGGTCAGGGAGAGACTTTGCCTTGAAAAAAATGGAACCAGAAGAACCACACCAGAGCATGTTCTCAGGCATCTACATTCACATACCTACATGTCTATATAGACATACCTATATGTCTATATACATTTGTGGACACATGTCCATCCCATACACATAAACACACTTATGGTCACACACACTCACACACACACACACACACACACACACACACTCACACACATAACACATATAGACAGGGTCAAGATAACTGAGCAATACTCTGCTGCTCATAAAGGTACATTTGAGGGAAGATATCTTTGGGAAAAAAAGATAACAGGTCTTCTAGAATCTCCTATTCTTGCCTAGAGTTCCCTTAAGTTACTTAGTCCATATATGATGCATGGTTTTCTGTCCTCAGTTCACAGTGTATTTCTAAATGGCCACCTCAATGAGGAAAAAGAGCACAGCTCATCCTACCTGCAGCCATTCATTTTTTTTTTTTTTTCTGACGGGTAGGTACTTGAACATTAATAAGCTTTGCGATGGCCTTTATGGTCAACTAGGAGAGTGAACTGGTAGCCAAGATCCTCATATGAAGCCAGGCTAGACAATGTTCTGTTTGTGGTGATGGCAATGGTGGCGGTACTATTGTAACATGTAAAATTATGTTCGTCCCTTGAAGGGACTGTGGCCATAGTAGGTAATTGGAAACTTGCCTGGAAGTGTTATTTCTCAGCCTAGGGAGTGTCTGTCTGTTCTGTGATGATTCATGGTATGTGCACTCCACCCAAATTTTCTATCCAGGTGTTAAAAGGCCAACACCCTGGAAGTCAAAAGGACAGAATCTGCCAGGACATGAGTCTGTGTTGAACCTGTAGAGGGCGGATGTCCCAGGTGCCAGGGCTGCTGGTGATGACTCAGGTGGGTGGAGGCAGTGAATGGAATCTTTTTCCAGGGCTATGGCCCAGGGCTCCCAAAGCACAAACATTAAGAGGGTGATGAATCAGCTAATCAGTACATCACTGCCAGATTACGGTTAGGAGAAGCTCTGGGAAACATCAGGGAGATAGAGAAGTAGGCGAGCTGGCAGCCTGTTCTTGTATTAGAGGGTCTTGTCAGGAATTCAGACTGTTATCACCAGAGGTTCTTGTTGGAGGAGAGAAAGCTAGGCAGGAAGAGCATCTGAAGGCTGTGGAAGAACATCGAAAGGAATCTGCATACCTTTGTTAACACAGAAGAGACAGGATCCAGTCTAGGGACAGCTATGGTTACTTTAAAATGGCAGAACTTTATGATTAGATACAACAGCCAGCCACAATGGGGGCACATAGCACAAACTGTAGTGGTATGCTCTCCAATGTTTCCATCAATGCTGATGATCCCAAACACGATTCTGAAATGACTGAGGCCAAATGCAAGAGAAAGACCTCAGAGTACTATTGATCTTAGTGAAATCTCTCTCAAATAGTCTTAAGCCCATGCAGTGACCAAACTATGAGCCAGAAAATGAGACAGGCACAAAGTGGATTGACAAAAGAGGTGTGTGTGGCATTCTAGTGTGGCCCAACCATCAGTTATACTTTGCAGAGGTATATTTACCTCATATTCTAATAGCCTATAAAAATGCCTGCTGTGGTTTAGATATGGTTTTTGTAATCTCCAATGTGATCTGTTCTTGTTTCTTCGTGAGCAGACTTTAGAGGAGACTTGCAATGGGAAGTCTGTGGGTGATTCAGAAAGCTTTCCTCAAAAAGTAGTAATGTTGCTCTAGTACAGTGGTTCTCAGTCTGTGGGACCCCTTTGGCAATCCTCTATCTCTAGAAAAATTACATTACAATTCATAACAGTAGCAAAATTACAGTTATGAAGTAACAATGAAAGTAATTTTATGATTGGGGATCACCGCAACAAAAGGAACTGTACTAAAGGGTCATAGCATTAGGAAGGTTAAGAACTACTGTTCTTGTGGAATCCTCAGTTCTCTTGAAAGTGAGTTGTGATAAAAACCTGAACCCAACTCCTGAATTTCTCTTCGTCTTCCTGTCTGGCAGTGTGCTCACTTCCACTAGAAAGTGCGTCTTCCATTATGCAATGGGCTGTGATGTTACGTACCATCACATGATGTCAAGAGGACTCTAGCCAGAGCCAAGCTGGTGTCAGTGCCATTCCTTTGACCCTCTAAGTTGGGAGGTAAATGAACTTCTTTTTGTTATATGCGTGGTTAGTTTTTGTCATCTTGACATGATCTGGAGTCCGTGCAGGAGAGGAAAGCTCAATTGAGAAATTACCTACCTCTGATTGGCCTGTGGCTATGTTTGCAGGACATTATCTTGATTAATGATTGAGCAGAAAGGTTCAGCATACTGTGAATGGCATATCTCTGAGAATGTGGGCCTAGAATATATAAGAAAGGTAGTTGAGGAAGTCATAGGAAAAGTAAGCCAATAAGAAAAATTCCTCTATGGTCTGTTTCAGCTTCAGTTTCCTTCTATAGACTACTACCTTGAGTTTCTATCATGATGGACTGGGGCCTTGAAGCCAAGTAAACCTGTTCCTTCACCTAAGTTGATTTTTGTCTGTTTATTTATTTATGTTTACAACACAAACAGAAAGTAAACTAAAATAATTTTTCTATGCTATATTTTTCATAGTAATGAAAAATTGACTAATACAACCTTATAGAGCAAGTTGGCCTCAATTACTAAATCAGAAAACAACATAACACCTGTAACATAAACATAACAAAAAATAAAAAAACATATAAATATAACATGTAGATAAACCCAGTTGGGCATCAGAAAATTTTTATAGTTATGTTTATTAAAACATTTATTGTAAAAAAAAAACATTTATTGTAAGGATTAAGAATAGACCCTCTAACTGAGAAATGACTAAATTAGATGTAACTTATATTTGGGAATATAATAACATAAATAAATAACATAAATAAAATAACATAGGCTATAAGAATTAACAGTTATAAATCAGGCAGTAATGATGTATGCCTTTAATCCCAATACTCAGGAAGCAGAGGCAGGAGAATCTCTGTGAATTCAAGGCCAGCCTGGTCTATAAAGGGAGTTTGAGGATAGCTAAGGCTACACAGAGAAACCCTGTCTGGAAAAACCACACACACACACACACACACACACACACACACACACACACACACGCACGCACGCACACGTACAAAGAATTGACAGTTATAAATAATAAGCAAAAATGTAACTTTAAAAAGGGAAGATAGTATGATAGCATTTAAATATTTATAAAACAGAATGACGGCATAAGGTATGCATTGATATGTACATGTTTATAAAAAGTATAAAATACAGGCTGCATATTCATCATATCCATGATTATAATTGATTCCAAATAGGGAGTGGGCTTTTGAAATATTATCATAGCAATACACAATACAATTTTAAATCAAAAGTTCATTTTAAATAGTATAATCATTTACAAACTCAATTTTTTTCAATATAAACTGTTGCATAATCTTCTTTTGGCTTTATTGATCCTAAAGCTAAGCACACAAAATTCTATGTGCAGATAAGAATAACAAGAAACCAAACAAACAACAAGAAACAGCAATAAGAGGATAGAACAAGGCTGGTGCTTTTGACAAGTATTAGCTGAGTTGTGTGATTTCCATTTGCCAAGATACTGTACAGGGCATTGATAACACTAAAGTCAGCTAGTCCATACTCAAGGATTTCACAACACCCAAAGGAGAGATGTACACAGACACACAGTAATATGGATAAACATAACTGCTTATGGGAAGACCTCTAAATATGATATCAAGTTTTCAATTAAAAAAACAAATCTACAAAAACTATAAAGAAAATATGTTAGATGAGCAACTTGGAAAGAATTATTTGTTGTCAAGCAAATGGTGTTCCGAAAACATCACCATAAATAACATAGAATTACAAAAGAAGTAGACATTTTTAATAACATGTTTAGTATTACAAATGGGATCATAGAAATAGAGATGAATGGCAGAAAATGGAAATGGAGAGTGTTAGCAAAGGAACCAGAATGCCATATTAAGAAGTGTGAAGAGTAAGGGTAAGTTTGATAATGCTATTTTTGAAAATGTGGTTAAAGGTTAATGTTCTTGTTGCTCCATCACGAGGCCTCCATAGGTACAAATACACACAAACAGATGCGTAGGCGAAATAAAATTAAATCTTGATCTTAAAATAAAAGAAAATATGGAGGGTAAATTGAAGAGACGTTCATCTAAAGAAGGAATCCAGATAAGTGTTTCTTACCTTCCTTCCACATACTAATCCCTATGCAATGACTGAAACAGGTAGAATCATTTCCATGCCACTTTCTAAAATTTAGCATCAATGTTTCAAAAATGGACTGATGACCAGAAGTGAAAGGACTGGCAAGTTGGTACTGAGGCTAATTTTCAAAAGAAGCTAGTGTTGATGTTGAAAAAACCAGAAAACTAGAGCACAGTGTTACTCCTCACTTACCGAGAACTTTATACTGACCACCTATTACTCATAATAAGGAATAAATAAACATAAAGTCAAAATTCTTTAGGCGAAGAGGGTTTTATATGTCTAGCAAAGCTAGCAATGCTGTAAATAGAAGCCCTTTGTCAGTACATCCTCAAGGGGGTGATGAATTTGCAATGAGTGGGACACCTTGGCTGGAGTGCTAAAACTGACCATTTCCTCCACAGTAAAATTGAGGATTTTCAATAAACCACTAAGAATCCTGAATTACTTGTCTGAGAGACAGTAATATTTGAGGTGACATTATTGATAAGACTGATTTTTAAATTTTTATTCTTGTCTCTATCCTACTCTGTTTAGAGTAGACACTGCTTTACACATGACCTTGCTTATATCAATTTAGAATGTTTTTTAGTCTACTTAGAACTAATTATTTTACATGAAAATAAGTTATTTATCTCAGCTAACTTCGCATTGGCCTTAAAGCCAATGATAACCATATTAGTAGCTGACTGACTTTATTGATTCACTTGTACTTCAAATTGCTTCCATTAATTCAAGCAAAGGAAATGCTGGGGATGATATGAAAATTCCACATGTAGTTTATAGCTTTTGAGAAAAGGCTGACCCAAATATGGTTTGCAATCTTTAGATGATTAAACACAGGGTGGTATTTGAAGTCACACTTAGATGAATATCTGTGTAGCCTACCAAACCCAAAGGGCAACTGAGGGCCTGGAACTTGATGGCTCTCCTAGCATGCTAAGTGGGTGGTCTCTGGCCTTTTTGACCTTGTTTACTTCCTGGAACCATTTTCATAGTTCTTGTTGTTATTCTGATATCTAGTCTCATCAAGTTCTCCTGTCTTTTATACTGAGGTTGGAATTGTATCATATTATACCTCTGAGTTTTGCTAGTAAATTCAAGGAAGAATTGGCACTTTTCTACAAAGTTGACATTTGGAATGGATCTGTTCTGGATCTTTTCAAAGTCAATTTCAGTGTTACCAAGAGTTTTCAATTCTGAGCTTTGAATTTATCATTTGCAAAGCAGTGGTGGCACATGCCTTTAATCTTGGCAGTCAGGAGGCAGAGGTAGGTGAATCTCTGTGAGTTCAAGGCCAGCCTGGTCTACAGTGCGAGTTTCAGGACAGCCAGGGCTGTTACACTGAGAAACCCTGTCTCAAAAAAACCAAAACAAACAAACAAAAAAAGAAAACACAAAAGCGCTCAAAAGAACTGTACTGAAGAAAATTCCTTCAACTTTGATTAAAGGAACTAAAAGATTGGGGGATAAAAGAAAACAATGCTAGATTTCTATAATCAGACAACTGGCTGGAAAAGGTACTGAGATATAAGCATGAACCATCCTTACTGTATAAAGAAAAACATTTTTAAAAAGTGGAGTTGATACAGAGATGATACATATATTAATGAACAATGGGTCAGGAACAATGGCAGAAAGATGGTAAGGCCCCAAGTAATGTCAGCAAGATGGCAAAAGAAGAGTTTCCCAGCAAGCATCCCCAGAGTGACAAGCATTCAACTGTTATAGGATTGTCTGCTCGGTTCCACAGCTGCCATTCTCAGCCCCAAATAAACACACAGGTGCTATATCAATTATTAAACTGTTGCCAGTGGCTAGGGCTTCTTATTGGCTAGCTCTGTCTTAATTATTAACCCATTTCTATCAATCTATGTATTTTCCCATGGTCTTTGCTTACTGGAGAACACCTGACACATCTTCTCTTCCTGGGCTCACATAGAGACTCCTCTCTGCCTACACTTCCCAGAATTCTCCTCCTATGGAAGGTAACCTTGCCTATCCTTCTTGCCTGGCTGCTAGCCACACAGTGTTTTATTCATCAACCAATAAGAGAAACATACACAGAAGGACTTCCCCCATCATTCGACTGCCATCCATACACAAAGTGCTTTTTGGGGTTGGGGGGACTTTAAGACCCAGGTTGCAGGCAGTGAAATCCTTGTGTAGCCCTAGAATGAAAACACATATTTTAGGATGCCAGGCTCACATCCAACCCAGTAAGCTTGTTGACCATGTACAGAGTCAGAAATAGATTTTATCCTCTGTGGATAGCTATAGCTTCACATGACCTTGGTTCTAACACCAGAATCATTTGCCAACCCATTCCTCAATTGAAAGGTTTACCAACGTGGGTTCTGGAAGATGACTCTAAGGAGGTTCTGCAACATGGCTAGCGGGCCTCTTACTAAGACAAAAGATGTCCTGGCCACTCAGAGACTTGCCAAACTGTATCTATCTAAACTTCCAGAAGCACCATTCAGGCCTCAGTCTTAGTTGTAAACCTGGAGCGGTCATGAGGGAGACAGTCCCAGCCATATGCAACCACAGTTCATGGATAGTCCTACCTGCCCAGAGACTTACTTTATGTCAGAGTGGGAGAGCTCCTGAACACCTGCAAGGAACTGCACTAGTCTACATTCCTAATAACATACTTTCAACAAGGACTCAGCTAAGACTTGATAAGTAGACATTTGCCCCCACACTAATCTTCTATCCAAGCTCTGAGAGCCCAGAACTCCCAGATACTACAGTGAACTCATGCTAACTCAAACCCTTCATAGTATGCCCATCAACCTTGGAATCCTCCCAGTATTCCCTTACACAACCAGCAGGAGTCATGTGATACCTCCCCCATACCCTCCTGCTTCATTGCAATCTTGGAGGCAACCTCATCATATCTAAGACCACTACTGGCTGGGAAAGATGTTCACAGTTTTGTTTTACTGACACCAATACAGCACTGCTGAGGCCAAAAGAGTCATGAAAATATGACCCAAGAGAACTAATACTGTGCCACTAGCCAGTTCTTCCAGAATGGAGTTTATCAGAATGTCAGACAAGCAATTCAAAATAACCACCTTCAAAAAAGCTCCACAAGGCACAACAGAACTCAAGGCACAGAAAACTCACGTTTGGGAAAACAATGAAACAAACAAGATGTTTTATTCAAAATAAGAAGTATTGAAAAGACCAACAAATAATGCAAGTCCTGCAGCTGCATTAGAGTGTGACAGAATGGAAAAATCAAATAGATACCTTTTGTATAGGATATCATAATATCCTATCATGTTATAATAAACTTATGGATACAAAATCATCATGAAAATGCAGAATTTCAAATGAATTTTAGAAATTAATTTTGCATAAAAGTAGGAAGAATATCTACAACAGACAAGATAGAGTAGAAGACAGAGTCAGTGACCCTGAAGATAGATCATTTGGAGCTATTTAACTGAGGAAGAAAAAGGAAAGAGTGAAAAAAAATTGTTAAGACAGACTAAGAGATAGTGAGACATCAACATGTGAAAAAACAAAACCAACAAAAAATATTAATAACACAACTTCCAGAGAAGGGAGGTAGAGTGGGATGGCAGAGAGAGAGAGAGACAGAATTCTTAAACAGGGGAGAAAGAACAGTGGGGAGGGAGAGGAAAAGAAGGGAATATATCTTTAAAAGTTTATAACGTACTGATTGCTGAGAACTCCCCAAATCTTAGAGAAGAAACATTAATGGAAAAGATACAGTTGTCAAAGTCAAGACAGTAACAAGAGGAAAGCTGTTTATCTCACACAAACAGAAAATCCTTACAGATGCTTAGCAGACTTCTCGGCAGAAAGCTGGTGAGTCAGGATGTTGTGAAATGACGCATTCGAAGCTCAGATTTTAAACACACAGCCAACTAAGAATGCCATTCTGAGCAAAGCAAAGCTGTCCTTCATAAATCAATGAGTGCGGGCTTTCCCAGGCATAAAGGTGATTAGCCTTAGCATTGTCTCCAGCAGGAGAAGCAGACTTTTCTGTCCCACTTGGAATTGTGAAGATTCACGTATCCAGTCCGATAAGCCAGTGCATGCAATGTAACACACCACAGTCACCACTTCTAATCACTAGAAAGACAACTGGTTCTCCAATCTTGTTAGGTTTGTAAAAAAGCAGCTATAGATAGATCCAAAGTGGAAAGAGAGGCCAGGTCTGACCTTAGGCGCAACAGTATTTGTTCATTGCTGCAGGGAGTCGGGGTGCAGATGAAAAAGGGGATTGTATCTTGCCTGCCTTGTGAGTGGAAGGCCAAAAAACCTACAGAGGAAGACAGGATAAGGCTCCATACAGGCACAAGGATGGCATTCTTAGTCTGCAAGGAAAGCTGGGAAATGTAGTCTTTTGACAGGAAATTATCAGGGCTCAGTTATGGCACTGTCTGTGTATGACTTTGGGCACTGTATCTTAATTTCTGAGCAGTTTCCAAACAGCTTCTATTTTCCCTTGAATATTATCTGTGTTCATAATATCCTATCATGTTATAATAAACTTATGGATACAAAATCATCATGAAAATGCAGAATTTCAAATGAATTTTAGAAATTAATTTTGCATAAAAGTAGGAAGAATATCTACAAATTTTTGAGAAAAAAGGACCTTCTAAAATGTAAGTGCATTCCAAAGATGGTCTAGCATAATGGCTTGAGACAGTTTCATTCCATTCCATTAACGTCCATCTGCTCTGCTTTTCTCTTTCCCTTTCTTCATTGTTGTATTTAGTGACAGTTCCCACACTGCTGATTATCAACTGGTGCTAGCTTCAGAAACATTCCTACTAGTCAACTTCCTGGGCAGAGGATAAAGGGAGATTGTAGTGATATATTATTTATGATTTATTAAAGCTTGTCTGGGGATTCAGAAAGCAAAGTCAGCCACCAGCCATAGAAGCCAGTCACACACCTTTAATCCTAGCAGTCAGAAGCTAGGAGGTGGTGGTACTCACCTTTATTCCTGGGACTCAGGATTAAGAAGTAGATGAATCTCACTGAGTTCAAGGCCACCCAGGGATACATGAGACTGAATCAGTCTAAAAGAGTAACAGAGCTCACACCTTTAAGCCAGCATTAGGAAGGTATATAAGACAGGAGCAAGGTCTCAGTATCAGGCATTCGCTCTCCAACCACGTTGAGGAGAGGAATATCCCAACCCATTTAGAGGTAGGAGCTCTCTGATAGCTTGCCTGCTTTGCTTCCCTGATCTTCAGGTTGAACCCTAATATCCGTCTCTGGGTCATTCATTTACCATGTACAGGAGATTGATCTTCAAGTTGCAGGGTCTATAAACCAGTAACAAGATAATTTATGTAGTGTGTTTTAAAACACAGATTTATAGACCCCAGTTCTTAATCTACAAAATAGTAAAGTTGAAAATGAAGAAAAGAGACTTCAGATAGAGATTAATTATTTTCTAAGTTTAATTCAGGAAAATATCAAGAAACCAATCAACTTGAAAGTGTATTGAAAGTTCTCTTAGTTTGTTCAAATATGGATACTTATTATTTTGAGGATAAATTCATACAAAACAAAAGAATGTTATCATTATTAGTAAAGCATTTGGGAATTATGATAATCTCCTTAAGGCTTCTATAAATAGAAATAATGTAGTGATTTCAAGTACAAGAAAAAGAAAAAGAAACCCACTCCCAGAGAAGGGAAGAGATGGAGGGAAGGGGAGAAGAGAGGACAGTATCAAGGAAGCACTTTCCTCAACAGAGCCAATGTGCAAATAAATCTCTCTGTCTGTCTCTGTCTCTGTCTCTGTCTCTGTCTCTGTCTCTCTCTCTCTCTCTCTGTGTGTGTGTGTGTATGTGTGTCATGGTAGTTTTTCTGTTCTACCCCATATCTGATTTTGTCTTAACTATTATAGCAAAAATTAAGAGACCAGGAAATAAAGTTAGTTCTCCCTACAGCCTTGAAAAAGGCCATGGTTCAGTTATGTTCAGTTATGTGTGTGCATATGTTTAAAGAATAAAAAAAAACCAATTTTTAAAAAGTAGGAAATAGAATTTTCCAGAGTATTTTATAGATATAGAAATAAAATGCATATACAATGTATGTGGTTAGGAACCTAACTGTGATATCCCATTGTGATTTTTATGTGCTAAAGTTTTACCCTCTAACCTTTCAAAATATGACAGTGTTTGAAGAATAATCATGATGCCTAAAAGTTAAAAAACTGTCAATAGGAATGCTACATCTCCAAGATGTTCCTGTGCGGGGATCAAGCCATTGTGGTGCTTCAGAACCCCCTCATCACGGGCAAGTAGAGTAAGAGGCCTCTTCCCTCTGAGAGCCTGTACCAGACCCTGCTGAGCCCTGCCCAATAGGATAGATATAAAAACCCTCTCTTTTTTTGGAGGGGGGGAATGAAGATACTCTGTCTGGGGCCTCTAACCCTGAGCCTTGACACAGCGGCAGCTACCCCCCATACCAAGGGGCTGGCTGGAAGAGGACTCAACCAGGAGCTGCCCTGGAACTTTAGCCCCTGGCTACAGCACAGCAACAGCAACAGCTCTGTGCCATGCCTGGCAGAAGGTGGGGGCCGGTCTCAGCCATGTGTCACTGCCTGGTGCCTATGGCAGTCAGACATCATTGGGTGAGCAGATACGGGGTTGGGAGGTAGAAGAGAAAGGTGGAACAGCAGTTCATGGACTGGGGAGAGGCAGATCTGAAGAGGTGAAGATGGCGAGGAACCAGCTAACATGAATGGCCTGCTAGCCACCTGAGTCCAGGGTCATTGACAGACTTGAGCTACTGCCAAGGCCTTATCACAGCTGAGGGGACAGGACGTGATGTTTGTAGCTCCTGTTGACACTGAGGGCCTGCAGAGACCTGTGGTTTAGGCTGCCACCTGGAGCCAGGTTTCTGTCTGAGGGCCATGCCAATCTGAGTGGCCTGCACTGCCAACTGGGGCAATGGTGACAGCCCAGTCCTGGCTACTGCTGAAGACAATGTCTGGGTCCATGGTCCTACCATAGCCCAAGTCAGTGTTGATGGCTGGTAGCCCATGGTGGAACCAGAGGTCTCATGATGTCCATGTCTGGACCACAGAGAGAGCCATGCTGAGATGAGTGATTGACACTGTCATCTGGGGCCATGGTGTTGCCCAGGCCAGGGATGCTGCAGAAGGCCAGCCAAGGGTCTGTGGTCCTACATCAGCCAGGGTCTGAGTTGATGTCCATGGCTCCTGATGCCATTGAAGACCATGCTGATGCCAGGTGTCTGGGCAGCCGGGGGCCACATTGGTATCCATGAGCCATGCTGCTGTAGGAGTCATGCCAAACCAGAGGGCCTGCACTGTCACCTGGGGCCATGGTGACATCTGGGCCAGGGCTGCTGCTGAGGGCAATGTCTGGGTTCATGGCTTTACAGCAGCCAGGGTCTGAGCTGATGTCTGGCTCTTATTACCTCCAAGGTTCATGCAGATACCCAGGGTCTGGTCAGCCACGTGAGACCATGTTGGTGTTCAAAGGCCATGCTGCTACCAGGGCCATACTGACCTAAGTGGCCTGTGCTGCCACCAGTGTTATGGTGATGCTGGGGTCCCAGCTGCTGCCAAGGGCCATGTCTGGGTCCATGGTCCTACTGTAGCTGGGGTCTGTGTTACCACTGTGTTACCCCGGGGACCTAGGAACCAAATGTGTTGAAATCCGAAGGTCCTGCTGAGCTGACCCTGCCCCTCACTGGCCCTGGGATAGCTGGTTCTGCCCCTCCCTTGATACTGAAGCAGGAGAGCTGGCTCCCACAATCAGAAACGATGGTCCCACACCTTATCACAGGTGAGCACCTTACCTGGGCAGCAGACTAGAGCTGGCCCTGTTGTCGGGAATGCAGGTGGGCTGGCTCTGAGAGTGCAAGAATAGCAAAGCTGATCCCCTACCCACCTCCCAATCTGCCACGTGGTGGCATGGGTGAGGAAAAGATGTCCTCCCTGTCTCACTGCTTGCTACCTGTGGCAGGCCAGAGAGCTGACCCCAGGGGTAACGAGGACAACAGACCCTCAACACTTCCAGGGCAGCACACTAGAGCTAATATGAAAAAGGTCATCATTATTCACACATTGGGTGGTTCAGGGTTTATTCTTGAATCTCTCTCTCTCTCTCTCTCTCTCTCTCTCTCTCTCTCTCTCTGATTTATTATGTATACAGCGATCTGTCTGTATGTCTGTCTGCAGGCAGAAGAGGGCACCAGATCTCATTACGAATGGTTGTGAGCCAACATGTAGTTGCTGGGAATTGAACTCGGGACCTCTAGAAGAGCAGCTAGTGCTCTTAACCACAAAGCCATCTCTCCAGTTCCCTATTCTTGAATCTCAATGCTTTCAAGAGACTTTTTTTTCTTTGAGACAGGGTTTCTCTGTGTAGACCTGGCTGTCCTAGACTAACTCTCTAGATCAGGCTGGCCTTGAACTCACAGAGATCTACCTGCCTCTGACTCTTGAGAGCTGGGAGGTGCTAACACCTGGCTTTAAGAGATTTTAATATGAAAGAATAACACATTATTTTTTGTTTGTTTTGAACAGCTGCTGGTTTACTAATGGCTCATGGGACAATCCTTATGCCTAATAAAAATAAAGATCGGAGAGTTCCATTTATAGAACAAGAGAACAGAGGAACTCTAGTGTGAAGATAGTTGTGAATGAGTCCTTTCTTTATTTAATTATCTGCTAAACGTTTTCATTCACTATGTGCCCGCCATTGTCCTGGAGAGGTAAAAATGAAGCCAGAATTGGTCTTCCAAATTTTGGGATGCTGATTTTGCCATTAAACAATAGCCATGCTGACAGGGTATTTCTGACCATAGATGATGAGTTTCAAAGTGAGGACCATACATGCTCAAATACCTAACATGCAATTTTAGTTTCTAGAGTACGAGAGCACATAAGAATATTGGTCTGCTATATTTGGTAAAGAGTATCCCTCTTACTTTTGCATTAAAAACTAGCAAATTACTTTGGAAGTATGTGATTCTTGCTTGAACTAGAACTAACCAAACCTTTTCATAACATAGCTGGAAGAGCCTATGTTCTGTTCAATTTCTTGACAGTACAGAATGCTTCATTCCATCTTTGATTTTTGTCTGGACAAGTTCAAATTAGCCTCTGCGCTGAGCTCAGATGCCCTATCTTAACCAAAGGGCTTGGCAAATGGAAA